CACTGTAGAAGAAATTATTGATGAATTACAGAACAAGAAAACTAGAGTAAGTGTGTTTTAAAAGAGCATTTCAAGTGAAGAACTGAAATGCTACCATCAGGATTTACTAGTAATAGTGTGTAATTGAAATGAGGTTTTTGAAATGCGCCAATGAAATATTGTAGCCCTTTTATATGCGTACACGTAAAATAGTAAATCCTAAGAACGACTATCGGAGAAATACAGCATAAACAACAATCAGAGCTCATGGTCAGTTTTTAATGTTTTGCTGAAAGAGTGGCAATAATTTGGTGAAACCTTCATGAGACCAGTCTATTAATCTCCAGCACTTTATTATTAAAAAACTCAGATTTTCTCATTCAATACAAATTCCACGAGTGTTCATTGGTTCGTATTCTTTGTTAACTACATCACTGTTTATTCTAGTGTGTTAAATAAAGGCTTGTGAAGAAGAATAATAATTTGCCCTATTCTAAAACAGTACTTGTGATACAGAATGGAATTTTTAGCATTTTCCTACAGTATTGCATCCAATTATCAAAATACATAAAATTCTACATAGATTAAGGATATCTCAGTTCATTATGACAACAACATATTGGCATGTCGGTAGCAAAGCCGAAATTGAACAGTGTTTGAAGGTGTTAGAAAAGTAGGTGCTATCATATTTACTTGCGTAAGCGGGAGAAAGAAACAAAGCAGCACATAACAGAAAAAAAGACAGAGAAAAGGAAAAGAAAGAAAGAAAATGTTGTACCTATAAATGATGTGAGTTGGAAGGACGAGATCCAGTTGTACTACTGACTATTTAATGAATTATAGGTGTCAAGCCTAATGCTTTCTTTATCACACAGAACACGAGTTAAGTAGGGTATGGTTGAGTTTTTGTACTTGCTGGTGCGAGCATATAGTTTTCTATATAGGCTTCTGGTTTTGCCTGATGAGATGCAAGGGGAGAGTTGTGAGTGAAGAGGGTGGTGTGAGTTAGATAAAATGGACTTGGCCCATTTTTCACATGAGTCCATGTGCCTGTCGACCAGAATATTAAAAAGCTGGTTAAGTGGCACCTTGCTTACCCTGCTGACAACCTTTAACATCCTGCGTAATATGTTATAGCCTTTCTTCAGTAGCCCGGGAAAAACTAAGGGGGAACAATAGAGAATAATAGGCAGAATGCGAGAGTTAACGAATTGTAGGAGTAAGGGTTTGGTTATATCAGAATGTCTTAACCTCTTGATGTAGAAGGTAAGAGGGAATATTTTCTTAGAAATCCTCAAGATATGAGACGATCAGGAAAGATCAGCAGATAGAATGACGCCTAGGTATTTAATTTGTGACTTGGTTTCTATTTCAGTGCCATCTATGTTGCACATCTCATGAGAGCTAACCCGTTTGTTTAGGTCGGATTTATGCCTAAAGGTGAAATTGACTGTTTGGCATTTGGAGGGGTTTAAGGTAAGACCGTTTTCCTTGGACCGCTGGCTGATTTCTGATAGAAAGCCATTAAATTTAGAGCAGTCACTTTTACATTTGACAGGTAAAGATACATTCAGGTCGTCAGCATATTTGGCAAAATCAATGCTATTTGAAGATGGTAAGTCATGTAACTGCGTCTGATAATGAATTTCCAAGGTTTGTAATAAATTTATTATCCAGTTAACCATGGCATTTTATGCACCATCATGACATTTCAGATGATTTCAAACCTTGATGAAACATTTAAGTAGAATTTTAAATGCCAATGATAAGTTGTAAGACAGTATGAAGAACTATTCACGGTAAAACTGATCCATAGCTTAGAATATTTAAAGTAGAGAGTTATCGTCTTGATTCTCCGTGGAGAATCTACTCTTCTACTTCACGTTTGACACCTAATTTCACGTGAACTTGCTTTTCATAATAACAGTTTACTTCAGACCATTTCATCATTTTTATTCTCTGATGAAATAAAGAATGCTGTATCATTGTGAGATAACTAAATTAAATAATGTTATTATAGAATTATACTCTGCCATAGTCAAGGGACTTCATGCACAAAAATAAAACGCGACTGTTGGTGGCGGTTATATGCAAAAATTAGTTTTCAAGTATCGGTTTACACATATTTCATTACCTTCAAGCTAGATTTCAAGATGATATCACTTAGAGAACCACTGAAAACCAGGGTGTACTGGACAGTTGTTTTGTCTCATTGGAGGACTCTTCAATTCTTCTGCGATCGATTTTACTTCGTAACCAAAACTGAGATTAAATGTTAAATTTAGAAAACCGGTTTTATTTGTGTCTATAGGATCAAATAGAGCTAAAGTGTGCGTAAAAAGAAAACACTTCAGTAGTATGTAACTTCATATTGATTTTCCTATTGCATACCTTATACAGAAAAACATTATTATTTCGTGGATGATGTTACTAACAAAGTTTATTGTTCATAATCAAATCAACTTAAACCGCATAACTTCGGAACTTGTTTTCTTGATAAGTATAACACAGATAATGTAACTATGGCCCATCATTTTAAATAGATTAGAATTAATTGCCATACTCATAATTAAAACAAAAGTCTGACTACTTTATTCTGATGTTGCATTCGTAATAATTAAAAGAAATGATTTGGAATACGCCCATAAAATATTTAATGACATATTTGATAAAAACATTGGATTCACAAGAGAAGAAGAATCAGACCAGGAAATTACATTCTTAGATTTCTTAATCAAGAGAACTTACACAGATCAAATACTCAACTAGAATAGCAATAACCCAATTGGTTCACAAAGGAAACTGTCTGCAGACATTGCATAGAAGAGTTCAAACACACCACTGTAGCACTCCAGACTGCTAAAGGGAATTGAAGACGATTATCTACTAACTATCTTCAAGAAGAATCAATACCCATACAATTTCATTTTAAAAAATGTTTAAACTGAAATCGAAATACCAACAAGAAACCATCCTCAAAGACCACAAGAAAATTCGTCCTACCTGCCATATGTATAAAAAATATCTCTGAAATAACGGCTAGAATATTAACACTACTGTGGTGTGTGCTATTGATAAGATTTATCAGTGTTAAATAAAGAGACGTTCACCGGCATATAAACATCAAATAGCAGGAAGATAGACTTGAGGATGTCAGAGAAAGCAAATGATGCAGCGTTGCGGAAATATATGGGATACGTGAAAGGAGCACAAAAACAACAATTTGAAGGCCAGAAGTAGCACAACACGGAAGATCATCTATGCAAATGGTGCTGCGTTGAAGATAAGGTGTAGATAATTTGGCTATATAGAGATACCAAATTGCAAATAAACATTCCTTTACCAAGTCTCTCGCCTTCTATCTTTACACTACCTGAAATAGACATAGCACACAAGCCAACACAATCACTTCATTCAATATTGTGCAGACCAGAATAGCCAACATCTAAAGAAGATAAGATCAATACCATCTAAAAAATGAATGGCATAGACTGCAATAAACACTAAATTGGTCAGAATTGGTACCCCTTTCGAATCAGAATCCAAGATCATAAAGTAGCTGCGAATAGACATGATATGTATTCTTTCATATCGATCCAGTGTAGATAACTACTGACACCATTTGGGAGAATGTAGAAATTTTAGAGAGAGAAAAAACACCAAAAGTGTCATGGGACTTCTAGAAGCCTGGTACTCACATGAATCAGAGATTAACAAACACATTACTACAGATAAAATTTATCAACTAATAAAAAATAAATCACATGACAATAAAGTTCAAATTCCAAGTCAATAAAAATGATCAATATAAATTAACAACCAATCACAACAATGGCTATCAGGAGATACAACTGTGTCATTCATGCAGAATTCAAATAAGTTCATTTCATAATGAATCTTCAGCTGAAGATGTTGTCTAGGAAGACAATGAAAGCTTTGCAATTAAATCAACCAGCTCAGAGAACACAATAAAATCAAAATCATCCACCTCAGCTAACAAATCTTCTCTGTTATTTTAACTGGTCGTTTCATTTTTTTCACATGCCATATGTGAATTCGTTCAGATCCATATTTCTTCTCTATAAATTAAGTGTCTGATTTTCAAAACGTTCAGTTTGTTGGTATTTGGAGTCAAATAATTCTTAGAAACTTATCCCGTAGTCTGGTATCAAGTGGTAATCATTACACCTATTTTAACAAAAGCTTTCATTTCAGGACATTATTTTTCACAATCCGCTACCAGAATGTCTGGCTAATTTATAATATGCAGAGTAGCAAGGCAAACTTTCATTACTCTCAAGTCTATGTGCAGATAAACAACACTCCTCAGCATGAAAAATAAGATCCGGATTTTCAACTCCAATATGAAGTCAGTGCTATTTGCTGTACGGATAAGAGACTTGGCGCGTCATGAAGGGCACCTCAAACAAACTACAGACTTTTATCAAAAGCTGACTTCACTCCATACTTCTCGAAATCAGATGGCCGGCCAGAAAAGATCAGCAACAGGGATCTCTGGCAATGAACGAACCAACCCAGCAGGAACCGACTGTGCAACAAATCTGCAGGAAGAAATGGAGGTGGACCGACCATACTCTGAGAAAACCATCAAGTGATATCACACGCAAGGCCATCGATTGAGTGGAACCCGAATGGGAAACGGCGAGTTGGTCGTCAGTGCGTGGGTGATATGGAGGAGGTCATGTAAAGAGGAGATGAAACAATGTGGGCAGACGTGGAGCCAGGTGAAAACGTTGTCAGAGAACCGAACGCAATGGAGACGTGCGTTAATAATAATAGAGTAGCATAATAATAATAACTATCCATTACGACTGAACTTCTAAATTACAGATGAAATGCCAGATAAGGAATGAAGAAATCAAATTTAATCGTCCGAAGCCTATTAGTTTGATAACTTGTCTGCTCAGTAGGCAAAAGTGAACACAGGATATTAGAATGCAAATTTATTTCACTGACCTGTTTTACAAGTGTTGACAAAATAATCTTACAACATAAAGCTTTTACGAAATTGTTAATGCAGTAGATTTAAAAGAAAATTATAGAAATAAGAGCAATTAAAGTTTTGGTGCAATAAAAATCAAAATATATGCATATTTATCTTCAGTAATTTTTATAAACATTTATTAATTAAGATATAATGTTATAATTAAAACAAAAAGAACAGAAAAAATAAGCAGGAGATTTTTATTGACTTTGGATGTTGAATTGCATAAGTCAGTTTCACAACAGTAAAACTCAACACCTTCTAAAGGTTGAAGATGTTCACAGTGCAGCTCACATGATCTCATCACACGTCTGTCAGGAGAATAAGAAATGGACTTCTAAATAGTGAAAATAATAAAGAAAATGTTCATTCATGGGAATTTAGTCTAATTTAAAACTAATAAAATTAAAGGCATAAACAAATTGAGCAGTGAATGCCCTTTTCGACAGTTTCCTCTTCTGTCTCTACAATTTATATGTGTGTATATGTATACAGAATATTCTAGAAGAAGAAGAACACTGATATTAACGAGGCTTTCAAAGTCATCTACCGCAAACCAACTAATCTGGGTACGTTACGTTGATGATACATTTGTAATAATTAAGAGAAGTGATTTAGAATGTACTCATAAATTAATAAACAACATATTTGAAGACATAAAATTCACAAGAGAAGAAGAATTAGATAACAAAATCCCATTTTTAGATGTCTTAATCAGGAGAACAAACACAGGAAATTTTGAAACACAAGTATATAGAAAGTCAACGCACACAGATCAAATACTCAACTATACTAGCAATAATCCAATTACTCACAAAGGAAACTGTATGCGCAGGCATTGTTTAAAAGAGTTCAAACACATTGTAGCACTCCAGAGTTGAAAAGAATGGAAGAAAAATACCTACAAACGGTCTTCAAAAAGAATAGTTATCCACAAAATTTCATCAAAAAGTGTTTAAAGTCGAATCAAAACACCAAAAAGGAACCATCACCAAAGACTACAAGAAAATTCATTCTACCATACATGAAAAATATCTCTGAAATAACAGCCAGAATACTGAAACCGTTAGATATAGATATAGCACACAAGCCAGTCAAATCGCTTAATTCGATATTATGCAAACCGAAAGATCCAACAGAAAAAGAAGATAAAATTAATACCATTTACAAAATAAATTGTATGAACCGTAATAAACATTACACCATTCAAAGTGGGCGTCCCCTTCGAATTAGAATCCAAGAACACAAATCAACCGTGAAAAGACACGATATGTATTCTTTAGTATCAATGCATATAGACAATTGTGGACATCAGTTTGATTGGGATAATGTCAAAATCTTAGACAGAGGAAACACCAAAAGTTCAGTCAGGGAATTCCTAGAAGCCTGGTACTCAAACGAAAATGCAATTAACAAACACGTCATTATAGACGAAATATAACAACTAATAAAAAGTAAATCAGATGACCAGAAAGTTTAAAATCCAAGTCAATAGGAAATGGTCAATACATATGTAAAGATGGTTACCAGGAGACGCAATTATATCACGCATGAAGAAATTTAAATCATTTCACTTTATGCTAAATATTGCGCTGAAGATGTTGTCCAGAAGGACGAGGAAAGCTCCGCAACTAAACCAACCAGCTCAGAGAACACTATTAATTGCAAACCTTAACTTCACCTTAAGAGTTCATCTTCTCAGTATTGCTGAGGCTGGCTGTTAGGATCCACATTAAGAAACCTAATGTATTTATCCAAAAGAAGTTATTTCAGATGCTTTTCTTACTTTGGTCATCAAGATTTTACTGATCCTTAATTTGTTGTAGAGATTTTCTTAATTTCATTTGATATTCTATTGGCTATTACATTTTTAAGCTTACTATAACTCAAGAGTCTTTCTTGAACTGTAATTTCATTGATCTTACTTAATAAATGGATAGTACTTAAATACATGAATAATGTTAATGACGATTATTCTAGAATATTTTGTGTATATAAACATACATATAATTGTAGAGCCAGAAGAGTAAATTATCGAAATGGACAATCTTTTCTCAATCTTTTTTTCTAAATATTTGAGTGAATATTTTCGCTATATTAAAAACACAAGTTAAAATAAACTCACTCAAACAGCTCAGATGTAATAGTTATGGGTGTTGTGTAATACATCAGCCAAAGAGATCAGATATTACATTTGTTTCTTTTCTAGAGAATGAATTTCATACCTTTTTCTACTCGTAAAATGGACGCAGTACAAATACTAGGATATGCTTTTTAAATTCTATGCTTTCAAGGTGGAATATAAGTCTTCGAGATTCAATCTTTGAAATTTCATTAGCATTAGTATTGCTTTTACTGGGGGGGTTGCCAGCCTCTCTACCAGACTCCCTTTATTCTCGGGCTTACCACCAGCTAGATGAGGTTTGGATGCTTGTCAGCTGGGAAGTGAACCCGAACCTACTGCGTGGATTAATAGTATTCAACCACTTAACTACTGATCCACCAAAGCTGTGGGGTATGATGTATCATGACGCCAAATTATCAAACTGCTTTCAAAGTTTGCATGGTAAAACACCTAATGAATCTTATCTGAAGAAAAATCGTTTCAAATGGTTTGGTGGTCAAATTCACTCTGGTGGTCCTATATCTTTTTATAAATTAGGTGCACCAAACAATTGTATTACTTTCTAAAAACAAATTATTACGCATAGTTATTATCGAAGTGATGTTTATTTGAATTTCTATGGCAGAACCTTCTGATTTCCAGGAGAGCTTTCTTTTTACGAAAAAGAGCCTTATCATTGTGAAATATTGTTTCTAGGTGTGCTCTAAAGGTGTATTCAAGAGTCCACACCACTTATGAATTTAGTTATGAAACTATTAAATCCTGACGTGTCAAGACTAAAAGCCTTTTACAAGATGTAACAAGGTTATAAAATAAATGGACTAATGTTTTGTATAAGCTAATCACATCAAAACAAAATGTACGATAAGTATTAAAGATACCTTTGAAAATATGAAACAATAAGAGCAAACAATCCCTTGATTTTATGTAAAATGTATATACAGAATGCATTTTAGTATGAAATTTTAATTCTTACTAGACAAGAACCACATCCTGATATTTTCTCCGTGTCTTTATCGATTCGTTCACAATCTCTGCATATGTAACATGTGAGATTAGAACCTAAAATCCAATAACATGGCTTAGTTAAGAAAATTGCGAAGAATGACTATGAAAATTCCTTTTTCGTTTGTTTTCCATCCAAAGGAACTTAGTTGAAATACTTTTTCATTCCTTTGCTTTTCAAGTGGAACGCATGGCTTCAAACTTGTGCCTTGAAGTTCCAGTAGCGGTGGTGTTGTTTGTATAGGATGAAGTCGCTAACCTCATGCCCAAACATTCCTCTTTTCCAGGGGCTTACCACTGGCTAATAAACTGGGAGAGGAGTTTAGGAGTGTGTCGGCTGGTGAGCATTCTTCTTTGGCACCGATTACTTTACAAAGTGCAAATAAAAGTTTAGAAGTGGATCTTTGTATATCATCACTTTTATATTCATCAATTATATCTAATCACCAGTTTATCAGAACTTGAACCCCATTGGGTGCGTACTGGCGATGATTCCCAAACTAGGATGAAACAGCTGTCCAACACTCCCTGGTTTTCAATAGTTCTCTAACTTATATCAATCCAGGCTGTACATTCGTGTATTTACATCAAATGGATGGGAAAGTTCCAGAATAATTTCCGGTTAGGGGTAAAACTAATAAAAATTACAATTAGGAATTAGTATGCCATAATAAACAGGGGGACGGATAAAACTCAAACAAAATAGCATTATAATAACTAAGAAAATTGACATTGTGCAATTGCGGGTTAGAAATGTAGAAATAACAAAATAGACAGGATGTTTGGATTAAAAACTAATGTGATGAATAATTGTTTATGCAATCAGGGATTAAATATGTAGAGACAATAAAATGACAAAATAAACAGGAAGAGTGGATATGAAAATATGGTAGTGTAGACAGGGATTAAGAAAAACTTAAAATAATATGAATAAACAGGAAGTTTAGATAAGAAAGGCGATGAGATCGTCATTACTAAAAAAGATTACCTGATTATGATGGCCATGACAGGGACAGGGATTGGACGTAATTCTTTTGGATACAAAGAGTGGGTTTCAGCTTTTTGATAGCTAGCGCCTCAGCTATGCCCAGATGTCTTGATTTCACTCGCTTTGATAGGTTTGATTGAATCTTGTATATTACTTTGAAGGATTTTTCGAAAGGCGCTGAATGTCCTGAGTTGACTAGATGTTCTGTCACTGAACTGTGTACACGTTTTTGGTCTCCTTTCACTAGCCAGGCTGGATAGTGTTCAAGTCGGCGCATGGTACGGCCAATGTACTCAGATCCACAAGAGCAAGTAAACTGGTATATACACTTTGAGGTGGCCCAATGCAACAGCTTGTCTTTCACTTTCTGGCTGAACAGTTTCTTGCAAGAAAACGTCAGTCGTAGGCTCGCGGCGAAGTATGTTTTCCTCAGCGATTCGGAGAGGCGTTTGCGAAGGATTTCTGCTTCAATATCACCTTTGAATTCTAGATTAAGTAGAAGTATTTTCTTTGGAACGGACTGGACTTGTTCGAAAGTCTTCTTAGATTTGAGATTCTTGTCTATGAACCTGGGCGGGAAACCGTTTTCCATTAGGGTTTTTCGGAGATTATGCAGTTCTTCTTCAATCACTTCCTCGCTGGATATCTTCCGAATCCTCGAGGTAAATTTTTTTAGTAATGACGATCTCATCGCCTTTCTTATCTAAACTTCCTGTTTATTCATATTATTTTAAGTTTTTCTTAATCCCTGTCTACACTACCATATTTTCATATCCACTCTTCCTGTTTATTTTGTCATTTTACTATTTCTACATATTTAATCCCTGATTGCATAAACAATTATTCATCACATTAGTTTTTAATCCAAACATCCTGTCTATTTTGTTATTTCTACATTTCTAACCCGCAATTGCACAATGTCAATTTTCTTAGTTATTATAATGCTACTTTGTTTGAGTTTTATCCGTCCCCCTGTTTATTATGGCATACTAATTCCTAATTGTAATTTTTATTAGTTTTACCCCTAACCGGAAATTATTCTGGAACTTTCCCATCCATTTGATGTAAATACACGAATATACAGCCTAGATGATGACTTCGTCGAAAAGAAAATTTTCTTCGCTACAATTGTCTTTTTAATATCTTCTATGACCCAATGTGTATATTCCGTGATATCAATCCGTGATCAACTTGTGAGAACTCTAAAGGTTTCCTCCAGTGCTTCATAAGAAACATCAGCCTATGTAGCTGAAACAAACTACAACTGTGGCAAAGTAAGCTGGTCTAATTCACCAACCGTTATTCTCATGACTTATGTCAGCAAATATTGAGTACCATAAAAGCATATTCCCTTTAGTTAAATCATTGGTTATGTATGACAGTGGGAGCAAAATGAAACAATGAAATTACCTGACACAACTTCCAGATTCGATAACAATGAGAAAAATACCAAAACAGCTAACATTACTATAAATCCGTTCACTTAAGATAATTCCTGTTTAAACGACCACAAGCCTTTTATACTATTTATTCTTTTATTTCCGAAAACGGCTTAGTTGACGTTAACCACACATACAGTTTTTTTCACACTAAGCAGTAACAATATTGTAGTCGGTTGCATACAACACGGAATGTTGATTTGCGAGCCATGGTAAAAATTCGTACTATCCTCATTCAACTCTCAGATTGATTAGCATGAAATTGCTATGGAAACAGTTCTCTTTTTGTGATATTATCATTTTTGTGAATAATTTGACGATTTAACGATTATTCTGCTAGTTAATATTCAGTGCGTGAATTGGTCTCACTTTTCGATTCGTATTTGTAACTTTGTGTATTTGAATGAACAATGAATAATGTAACGTAGTTAATAAATAATTATAGAATTCTCACTACCTTAAGTGCTACATTCATCCTAGACAGATTACATTTTATTGGTAGAAAGTATGTGTGTAAGCCTAATGAACAGTGAAATATTGAAATTCATGAATAATACCCATCTAGACAATAATGAAAACAAAACACGTAGTTCAGAGAAGAGTCACTTTTCGGCGAATGCATTCACCTAGCTGTACAATCGCAATTATATATATATACTTACTTTTGTATATGTGTGTACACTGGGTTTGTCCGATAGGAACAAAAATAAGTTAGAGTTATTGTTGTCAAGATATTTTAAAAATGTGATGAGTAATCAAAAGTGTAACTAGAGGGGAGGTGAAGATTAGTAAGAGGGTAGTTGTGATGTGTTGTCAAAAAACGTATTTGTTAACACATAAAAGAAGTTGAATAAGCGTAATGCGGTTACGTATTAAGATGAATAGTTTAATAAGTGGGTTGTGATTAGGATGCATATAGAAACAAAGGAAAATATGGAACTATGTAAGAGTTTCAAAACTTACAAATATTATAAGGAGTTAGAAAAAAGCACATAAAATCAAGTCAGTCGAAGTCAGCACGGTTGTTACCATGATAGTAGAAGTGGTTGGATGATTTTTTGCTTACATAACTCTGGTTTCTTCAAATGAATGGCTAAGACTTAAGCAATACAAAGGAGATGAAAGCGTATTGCCTTTGGTAGGTTATTCTTCCCTTTGTAGATCACTTCGAAGGAGGCGTTTGTTGAGATGGAATGACCAGTGTCGCACTCATTATACAGCCACTATTACCTTTATTCAGCCATGCGGGATAGGATACGCGTCCAACGACCAATGTATCTAACTCCACAGCAGTAGGTGAACTACTATTTGCACATAGAAGTGACCACATGTGAGATCTTATCCTCAAAGCTTCTGCAGATCAATGGCCGACTGGAGAACACTACTCTTAGCGTCGCTGCGAAGAATGTTCTTTTAAAAGATGCTGAAACTCTTCTCTTGAGGATATCGGAAGCTGAGTTTCCCTTGAAATTCAGATTCATGTAAAGTATCTTTTTTGAAATGGTTAGTGTTTCGTTCCTTATTCTTATGTAGACACACATACAAAAATAAGTATATATAACTGCGATTGTAAAGCTAAGTGGATTAATTCGCCAAGAAGCCACTTTTCACTGAACTACGTGTTTTGTTTTCATCAAAACATTGAAATCACTTAATCTCACTGTGAATAAACAGCTTATCACTGAAAGTAAACAAAATTTTGAATTTTTGAACAATGAATATTCCTCTAAAATAAGTTGGGAGTACAGATACACGTAAATCTAGGGATTGTCGAAAGTTCTCAATAGACATATACCGACTGCAAAAAATGCTCATCTCTTTATTACACTCCTCACCTTGAGTACCAATTTAGTGGAGTATATTTACGTGTCTGATGCATATATGACAGCTGAGGTTCAAATGAGTCAGCGACAAAGCTGAAGTCAAAGTACTGAATTTCGATGATTTAAATGTAACCCTTAGTAGCCAAAACGGATTATTCAGAAATGATATGAAATCTAAAGGCAGTAAACGAAATGTACTTGGCATGGAAAATTATGGTTTATTGTTGTTTCGTCAGAGATATCCTTAGGAAAAATCCAAGAGATATCACTAATTTGAACATTCTTCTAATTAATTTAGAAAAAGAACAATTAGAGCGAATAACAGTTTTTAGCAAAATATTCAACAGATTTTTTTATTATAGCTTGATTCCACACCGTATTCTTGGTACAAGTATGGAGTTCTCTGCATGTGATATCGGTAGCTCAAATTCTGCATGCCGACCATAGATATCAGGTGTGCGTCGGTAGGAGATCGAACCCCGGGCTGTGTGCATGATCGGCGAGAGTCCTAACCGCTGTGCTACCAACCAATAATTTCGAAACATCAGTGTAGATTTCGCCACGAGCCAACATCAGCTGATGAATCACTGAAGACAGATGAGCGCTGGGCATCTGTTCTGTCCCAATTTCAGACTCTCCAGCACTGTTTATCCATAACCAAATCAGGGATTGAACCCAAGACCTTTAGGTTATGATGCTTTCTTGTCGGCTGTACAGTAAACCATGAATTCTAATTTCTCTCATTTGGTGACATAATGATACCCCTGGTCAGTGCCTTCCACAGGCATCTGCTTTTCTTGGTATTCAGTGGTTCTGTAAATACTCTACTTTTGTGACAAAATCTACATTTTTAAGAATAATCTAAATGCCTACAGAACCCAGAATCTGAATTTAAAAATTCTCAGTGACACATTTGATCAAAAAACCAATTTGAGTGAAGGAATGTATTTGTCTTCAGTTTGTACCTAATCAACAGAAGTATACTAACATATGATTCCTAAATAATACATTAAATAATAACAATAACATGGTGGTCATCACGAGTCAGGTGATCCCCGATGGAAAACCCAGTAGGGCGTTTGAAGTGAATGCAGGAACATGACAAGACTGTCTGCCTATTATCACTGATGATATTCATAACTGTGGTTGACATGATTATGCGTTATAATGTGGGAAGCGAGGAGAAGAGAATAGGTTGAACTGATGAGAAGACTCTAGGACATTTGGATTTCGCGAGTGAACGATTTATGTTTACTGTCATAAAACTCGAGGACTTGCAGGCGAAAACCAATAAACTGACAGAAGAGGCAAGCAGCGAAGATACGACTTCAGGTGAACGTAGACAAGACGGAGGTGATGAAGATAACCAATTAACAGCAACAGAAACAACAACCAGCACCAATCACCATCAAAGGGAGAGATTTGACAGAGTTTACCTCCTTTACTTATCTAGGAAGCATCGTTTCAACCACAGGTGGATGGCACGGATGGAGATGTCACAGCTGACCAGAATCAGAAAGACAAGATACACCTTCATGAACCAGAAATTAGTATGGAAATCCTCCGCACTCAACACAAATGTAAAGTCAGTCGGTCACTTCTTCTATATGGGTCTGAAACTTGCACTGCACGTCACAAAAAGCATTTCCAACAGGCAATGCAGACTTTAATCGACAGCTGCCTTCGCTGGCTCCATAGTGAAGATCAAATAGCTGGCCAGAAAGAATTAGCAACAAGGAACTATTGCAATAAACCCACCAATAGCCGATTGCTCAATCAATATGTAGGAGAAAATGGAGATGGATTGGGCACACGTTGAGGAGGCTGTCAAATGAAATCGCGTTCAATGCAGGCTATTGCTGTAGCGGAATTCAAATGGGAAGCGAGGGTGACATGGAGGAGATGGTGTGTTGGGGAGGAGTAGATGATAGATTTTGAGTAATCGTTTGTCTAGCTGAAGAAGTCAGCAGGAAATAGTTCAAAGTGGAGATGCATTGTTGAAGTCCTACGTTCCACTCGGTACCCAAGGGAATAATAACATAATAAATAATATTAACATGGTAGTATTAGGCAATAGCAAATATATATATTTTGTAGCATAGCCGGGGTGAAAATACTTACTAGAGATGTTAATGATAAAACTATATTACAACGTATGAAAAGAGCCTTCAAAAAATCTTCTAACACAGCCACGCTATATCATCTAATCACTAGACAACAAAAATTGAGTTCTAAATACTGAGTCAGTCAAATAAAGACAAAATGAGCAGATTCACCTCTTCGATGTGTATTTTGCAGTTAAACTGCTCCTGGGGTGACAGTTACATTCGGTGTATAGCTACGTAAAATATGTGTATCCGAAAGAAATTGGTACAGTCCCTTTCTTTCCTGTGACCATCCACGTAATATTTACAAAATCATGCAGTTGATATTTGTTCTAATCCTTGTGACTGTCGACTGACACTATAACTATTATTATTGTGTTTTTACTGCTATTTTAGGTGATTCAGCTGACCTTCTCGTATCTTGGTTTTCTTGCGTAACTGATAACTAATTCACCCATCGATTCCTCCAAATTAACATTATCTTACCCAGAAAAAAGTTATTTGACAGCCTGTCGCCAACCTCTACAGATTCACTAGTTTTGATTTCTGCAGTTATTTTCACCTTAAGTTTTTAAAGATACCCTTCAATATTGTCTTTGACTTACAATTTTTTGACTAAATATTCATATCATTCTGTACAATAGAGAATGCAATTACAGACATAAACAGATGGGATGGAATGTTCCAGGACTATTCATTCTCTTTACCTTCAGACTACCTTCTCAGAGTTTGACAGTGGTATTCACAATGTTCTTAAAATAGAACTCTGTGCTTGATACAATTTTGTCAGGTTTTTAATAAATTATTAAATTAAAATCTCATAGACTGATTGGCGAGAAAGTATTTGCAAAGCATCAAAATGTAGTGAAAGTATTTTGCATTCTTTTCTTCGTTTCATATTACTTGTGCCTATTAGGCAGATATATTTTACGTGTTGTGTTGTATGAGCTGGAAGGGTTAATTGCAAAATTCACATTGTTCCTTTGGACAACACCGTTATTGCCAGCCTCACTGTGTAGTGAGACTTTGGAATTCGCCAAAGATGAGATATCCCTCTTCTGTGATAACCCTGAGTGTAACCTGTTTCCCCGGAAACTTTCTCATGATTGGTTCTCTCACTGACTCTATGTTCAATTTTTACCTGATGTGAGCAATTCTTTATTCACTATTACCGTTAATAACATGTTGGTTAATTCCGAATTGGTTTAAGTACTAAGCCTCTATTAGTTCTCCGTCTAAGGATTCAATATACCCCAATCGAATTCATGTCCGTAATTGTCCTTGTGATACGATATGCCCGAATGTGTGTCATGTCATTTGACTGCTAGTTTATATTCATGTATGAGAAGATGACTAATACAATGTTTTTCGTGATGGATGCAGTTTGTTTTCGTCATGACGTTGGTTTTTTCCCTTCTTGATTTTGGGCCTTTTTCAGCAAGATATGTTGTAAACCTCGACTACAGGAAGAATGACACAATGCACACATAGAAGATAAAGCCTGATATAATATGACTGAAGCATATTAAGAACACCTAAGTCATCAAAGAAAACTTTTTGTAACTCCTCTTCAATCTGTACAGTTACTTATAGCTTTATACGTACAATGTTAGTTGACAACAAACGTCAGAGGTTAATGTTAAGGTAGTAACCAAATAGTATTGGTTTTGTAGGGAATTTTGTTTGATTGCTTGGAGGATTTTATCATGAACTAACGCCAGTTAGAGAACCACTGAAAATCCTGGAAGTACTGGACAGCTGTTTCGTCCTAGTTTGGGGCTCTTCATCAGTGCGCACCCACCAGGGTTCGAACCCAACCAATCAAACAAGATTCCCTACAAAACCAATACTTGAAAATTAATCCAATGCTCACTAGTGACTGGCCCTATTCAGGCAGTTAACCTGGGGTTCTAGTGGGAAGCCGTGACCAGTAGGGTGCAGCAGGTTGAAGGTGAGGCAGTAACTCATTGAAGAAGACATCGCGCTATGTCATGAATTGGCAGAAGTTAGAATTCATGGGCCATTGGGTGCGGTTTCAGTGGCTTAATGGTGTATGAGATCGCCGGCCTTGTAACCAGAAGGTCCTGGATTCGAACCCCGGTGGGTTTGTACCGATGAAGAGTCCCAAACTAGGATGAAACAGCTGCCTAGTACTCCTAGCCGGTTTTCCAATGGTTATGTAACTGATGTCAGCTCATGATGAAATCCTCCAACCAAATAGTTAATAATCTTACGCAGTCAAAAGAGCTGATAACTAACGGTATGAAAATAATTTCTAGGAATTAAGAGGACAAATGGCTGAAATGGATTACAAAAGGTAAAATGAAAAAATAAAAAGAATCCATAGGGTTTAGTATGTAACAATTCAGGACCACTGTGATGAAAGAGGCTGGATAAAAAGTCCATGAACACAAAGTTCCAGTTTTTCCTTATTGACTGCTTAAGTTTCAACTGCGTATAGAAGATGTGACACAAATTCCCTTGGATGGCTTGACTCTGAATGAAATTTCTGCTCATGCTTCGTGACCAGAAGTAATAATGTGCTCCAGAATTGAGCTGTTGACTTTTCTGCATTCTCCTTTCAGTATGGCCTATGAACTTTACTCCACAGGACCAAGTGAATCAGTGAATACACACTAGAGTTGTCAACTTCGGAATCTTGTCTTTCTCATAATCTACAGAATTCATAACAGCACTGATATTGACATTATTAGTTCATGTAATGACAACAGATCTACCTTTCTGTGGTTGTTTTAATGCATTGTGTGCTTTTGCTTATATTTGGCGAATCTGGCTTAGGACAAGTGAAAACAATGTTATATTAGAATCTTCTGCTATTAATTGGATTAGTAGTGGGGTGATTTCTTATGGCTAACAAACGTCAGAGGAAATGGAAAGAACCCTTAAGAATCGTGAGACAAGAGTGCATTTTCGCGTAACGAACTCCTCACTTTCTCACTGGTAAAGACTAAGAATGTACTAGAATGCTATAACAAACAAAATTGAGTATACAAAATAAAAATGTTTGGATTATGGTGCTGTTTGTGTGGGATAAACTTCCAGGTAGGCAAATTTAACAACGAAAGAACATTGACGATGCCTAGAGATAGTTCCAAAAACTAGAAAACAGATCAGCAATTACATTACATTCCATAATAACAGGTCAAATGATTGATATGGATAGGATCCAGCTTCTACAGAAAGGTTCTGTTTATTTTTTTTAATGACTATTCGTGACTCAGACATGGATGGACAAGAATTTTAAAGACTAGATGTTTGCTGTTGTATACGTCATTGATATTTGAACTTTGGTTAATTTCCTGAAATTCAGACGATTTTTCCGAAAGAAACGTTGGAATTATCTATTTCAGTTTCTCTGAGACTCATAAAAACATAATTCCCATACATATCTACTTCTCACTCAGTGTCCAATATTTATAGAACTCTTTAGCCAAATCTTGATCACAGTCCGTATACAATTATGCTAGCAGTGTTCACGAAGTCGATTAAGGTTTTATAGTGTGCAACTCATAGATATATTACTGTGAATTTTGCTTCCATATAAAGAATTATCGAAACTAATTAGCACGAGATCCCTGTGTTGTCTTAGCTTGGTATGATTCACCGATAAGCTTACATGGCACCAGCAGAGACTATCCACAGTAGTTACAGATTAGAAGGCAACAACTTTATCAATGAGTTAGAATGTGGTAATCTATAAGTTTAGCTTTACAAAGTGATTTACAGAAGTATCTATTTAAGTCAATTGGTTGATAGTGACTAGCAGTGGAAACCAGGATGCGCATTTCGTCCTATTTGGGACTCGCCAGCTCAATGTGCCTGCATTCCCCATGAGTGATGGTGTTCTATCCGAAGCTGAAACCCAGTGCCCATAGTTTCAAACGCCAAAGCGTTATCCACTGGACCACTTGGGCCGCGAGAGCCGCCTCTTGTGCAACGGGTCTTACTAATTATTTGATTCAACTTAGATTTTTCCATTGATTGATTGGACCAAAGTGTTCGGTCTCAATCTGGTATCTCGGCTCCTTGTGCAGGTACTTCGACGATGTCTGGTCATCTAACTTGAAGACAGTTGGTTGATGGTGACTAACTTTGGCGTTTGAAACTACAGACAATGAGTTCGAGCCTCGGTGGGAACACCATCATTCATTGGGGAATGCAGGTACATCCAGCTGGCGAGTCCCAAATAGGACGAAATGTGCATCCTGGGTTACACTGCTAGTCACCATCCACCAATTGACTTCAAGTTACATAACCAAACATTGTCGAAGCATCTGCACAAGGAGCCGACATGTCAGCCTGAGACTAAACACTTTGGTCCAATCAATCGACGGAAAAATCTAAACTGAATTAAGTATCTATTTAACATGGACGTCGTAAGAGCAGTTACAATAGATCGCAGAAGCTTGACCTAGGTTTCCTGCTAGTTGGCACTCATCAGCAAGGCGTATCTGCAACCTTGAAGGAACTGATGTCCCTTCTGAGATTCGAACCCGCGTCACCCAGTGCTGCAGTCAGATACGTTACCACTGAGCTATTCAGGCTTGCGATTGACCTCCTGTAGGACTGTAGTGGATATTTTTTGATTTGACACTAGTAACTAGTGTGATGTGTCTAGTCCTCTCTTTGGTGCATGCTGTTTAGTAGTGGAGTTACAATGATATTTCCAGTATTGGAATCAATTACCTAACCGACTCCATATTCAAAACATTTGTTCATACAACGGATTAGTCATTTATCTGATAACAAAATGATTTAAGTATTTTCCTTATAAGAAATGACACAAAATCTGATATTATTTGCTTAAATCATTTTCATCAATCATAATACTGTTTTCACATGTTCATGTTGTCACAATTTCATAACACTTTTACTAACAAATATCTTGATATTGAAAATTCTGTTCAAATCGTATTGTCTGTGTTGTTTGTATCAACATGAACACCACTATGAATTTAGATAACTAACTCAGTTAAACTAAAAAAAAGTATAAAAGTACAAAGACAGTAAGTAGAAAGCACTTGTGAATTTAAACTCAAAAGATGCAATTAATTGTTACCAAAATGTTGATGACAATGATTCTTCTTTCAGTGATAGTCAACTCAATAGCTGCATCAAGTGAGTAAATGTTTCATTTTTGTTTTCTTCGTCGTAAAAATAGAAAATCGAAATATTAGTATTCCCGAGATGGTATGATGCGTTAAGAGAGATATTGAGTAATGAATTACTAAACCTCACTTTATAAACGCTGAAATATATGCTAGCCGCCATGTTGTGCATGATTTCGCTTAAATATTAGGTTTACAGGTCAATTCTTGTGTTGTGTAGTTATCGCTCTTACATTTCAAATATGAATTAATGTTCATTTGTGTCAGTAGGAAATGGAATTCAATGGAAAGCAGACTTCCAGGTACTGTAACTTTCCGATTTTGACTGACCAGTAAAAGTAGAATCATGATGAAATTTGTAACACGAATGAATAACTCAATATAGTAATTTTCGATGACAAATGTTCATTCATGAGCACAAGCACATAGAACTCAAATGCATATTAATAAAGATTGGACACACTTGAGCCTTTTGAAGTGGAAAGTATAAAGCATTATGTCTTATCCTTATAGAGTGATGTTTGCTTCTCGATTACACGTGCATATTTCAAAAGTAAATATAACCACTTAATATTTAAACAGATGGCATGAATTCATTAAAAAACTTTTTAGAATGTATAGTTGTCGAATGAAAATTGCTTTCTTATTGACAAAACTATTGTGAGAAGTACACTTGATTTTATTCTCTGTATAAGCATTTGTTAAGTCTTTTGACATTCAAGTAATCTCTGACAGTCATTAGATCGTAAAAGAAATGATACATTTCTGGTTTATTGGATTCTATCTATTTCAGAGCATACTTTCGACTGTTATCAATGCATGGGTTGTAAAAAGGTTAATAAGCATACTCACAAAGAACATAAATGTGGAGCATGTCTTGTAAGATGAAAATATTTATATTCATGAATATTTCATCGTAATTTCAAATAATATTGTAAAAGTTTACTGTTTGATATAATGTTATTTGTTCTAAGAGTATTATAAGTAAGTTTCAGTAGGTATAAGTATTATAAGAAAATAAGAATATTATATAAACATTACTCTCGATAGTTTTTACGAGTTGATCACGGACTGATTTCACTTAGAGAACAATTGAAAACCAGGGAGTACTGGACAGCTGTTTCATCCCAGTTTGGGAATCATCATCAGTACGCACCCACTGGGGTTCGAACCCAGGACCTTCCGGTTACAAGGCAAACTCGTATGACCTGGTTTTCAATGGTTCTCTAACTGATATCAATCCTTACTAACCAACTATTGAAAGCTCTCGATAGTATTTATCTGTAAATCTTCCTAGTTTCCGCCTAAAAATAGGTCTTATTATTCTTGAAATAAGCACATTGTTTCTCGGTGTTGTAGATACGACCTGCTCACAAAAATCAGCTACTACAGCATGTATGTCAAAATGTTTCTGTCATTGAACTCATCCTGAAATATAATTTTAAGACATTATAATTCATCGCAACGTACGACGTTTTGCGTCACGTAAGATTTTTCTACTGAAAGTGACATCTGATCTTTGAGTACAAGATGGCTACATAAAATTCCAGTATCAGATGAATGATTTTTAGAAAAGCGCTTCATAATGGAGTGCAAAATGTATGAGTTCAGATTGTTCGAATAACTTTTAACCAATATTCGGTTGTATGCAGTACTTCTGTGTAACTACAGAATTTGAAAACACAGGACGTAATAATGGTATGAAAATTTCTTACTTGTACTACATAAAGAAAAATTTTATTCAGTAGGAATCCCTTGCAGATTTAATATTCCCTCAGGAACTAATGCGCGAATGATTCATTAGTATGAAGACGATAAATGTAAGGTAGTCATGTGATTTAGTATCTTTTCACACACCAGAACTAAAATCCTAATTTAAAAAATGATTGAAAAAGAAGTATGTGATCCAAAAATGGCTCATTTCATTATTCCAGTACCTTTCCTGTCTTGACTGGTGTTCAAACTTTTGTTGATATTGTCAAAAAGCAAGCATAAGTAGCACCACACTAGGCAGTGTGGTCGGAGATACTAAAGTTTATAATCCATATAGAGGGTTATTCATAAAAAGCCAAGTTCATATTTTGCCTTAAACATTTTTTTAAAGTATCCCCACATATAAATGATTTTCTTCATTTTATCAATCTAGAAATATGTGTTTGATGGTCCTGAAAAACGCGTAGACAGACTGTGCACGGAGTCTTGTTCTATCGTACCGCCAAGGCGAGATGCTAAAATTTACTGCTGTAAAGGCAAATTATGCAACTCAACATCGAGAATCAATTTGAACCGAACATTTATTTATTCTATTCTTTTCATTGTTGTAAACGCAATGCTTTTCAGTAGATTTTAATAATTTAATTTGAAATTCATTCTGGCTGTTACCTTAATGCAGTGTGAAGTTCACACTTCATTGTATGGTAACATGAACCATGAAGAATGCAGAGAAATATCAATTTTACGGATAATGAACGATTTACATTGATCTATCACTTTCCTGGTTATCATATTGAAGGAAATTGACTGGGAAATCACTCTAGGTGAAGATAAATAAGGAGGAGGAGAAGAAGAACTTCGATTAGCTAGATTTAGAGAGTGGACAGTTGATGTTTCGTTTGTATTATCCACGATTCTAAATTTCCTTAAATGACATTTTGATATCTGAAATGTCGAAATTCAACTCACGGAGAACATTTTGAGAAGTGTAAATCGACTGATAGCGTTTAGTTATAAAGCTATTATGAAGACTGCAAGCAAATCACTTAGTCAAATGAACATTTATTCATTCCAAAGTTATAAGTAGAATTTTTAGTGATATTGCGTACGTTAACATGACTGATGAACGAAGACGAATGGAAAGCTCTGTGTCAGCTTACAGATAAACGTGCTGTCTCTAAATACTGCCTCAGTTGCGTTTGCTGCAGCACTTCCAAAAAAAATCTGCTTGTAGTTATCACATTTGAAAACTTAAGCCTACCAATATAAATAAATATATGCATTTACATATAATTACCATTTTGGCTGTGTATTATTGCGAAAATGGCATCTTTTGCAAGCACTTTCTTTGGAATTATAGAAAACATTACTGAGTCTATGAAAAACGTGTCTGAGCTCATCGAATGCCAATACGTATGTTGCATATAAAATATAACGTATAAACATTTTAAATTCTCGGCAGACACGAAAACTCCTTAGTATCAGGTTAATCATAACATTAAATTAGTGTTGTGTCTGTATAAGTTCGTAAACAATAAAACTCATGAGTTAATTTTTTTTAAGGAAAGAATTTAAATTCGATACACTTTTACTAACTTTTGGTAACGAAAGCGATGCCGTTACATTGTAGTCTAGCTAACAAAATCAGAGTTTGTGAATTCATTAAAGTGAAATGTTTGAAGTAGCGGTGGAATTCTAATGCGAACATATGTAAATTGTTGTGAGGTTAGATATTAGTTGTGAAGTTAAACGCATTTCTAGCATACAACGATGGAAAACACTTTACCGATTAATTAATTAGACTACTGCGTAATTTTTTCCGTGACAGTTCAGAAGTGAACAGCGTGAAAATAGCTACTTCCCACTGCCTAGGCAATTTCCTACAAGTGCTGAGTGGCGCATGAATAGCTCAGTGGAAACGTCTCTGATTGCATTACTAAGTAATGCAAGTTCGAGGGGATTCTTTACTAACGATTGCAGTAAGCATGCCAGCTACGTTCTGGATTTCCTGTAGACTTCTACTAACCGTCTAATATCAATTCAAAGGGCACCACGACTGCAAGTCTCCAAACTTGGTTACTACATTGCAAACTTGAAAGATAAGCTTAAGTCAACCCTAGGGAATAAATAGTATAACAGTGATTACTTCCCAGTGATTAGTCAATGTGTTTAATGATCTACCCATCAGATGATCAGCATTAAACAAATTACAAACAGAAATAAATGATAAGTGACGTGACCAGAATAGTACATGGGTGCTAGGTCTTGAAACGCTAACTCATTAAATCAAGAGATGAACATATGGCTTCAGGAAAACCAAGTCTGCATTTTGAAATATCACGAGATGCTAGTTATTTTCATAAGACTCCTGATGGCTGCATTAAGATATATTTCTCCTTTTTAAGCACATATGATTATTAGGATGCATTCATAAAGTCCGTAACGTACTTTTCTCATTGTTATTATAACTAGTCACTTCCAAAAGCATCCTTTAGTTTAAGAATATGGTTGGACACAATATGGAAACCACAACTCGAACACCAATGAATGGTAACAGAGTGAAAATATTTTTCTTTGTGTAGGGATGATCCTATCTGCTCAAATTTCCTCGTAAACTACTTCAAATATTCTCTGTACCTGAAACACTTGAAAATTAGATTTTGAATATTAAGTGATGTTTCTCTCATTGTGTATCAAAATAAACAAATTAAGAGAGAATCTCTCCTCCGTTTATTGTTTTAAATGAAGCCGGAATTTCGGATTTTGAATTCTTTGTTTGAATATTACCTTTCATTTCAGTGAAAATCTGTGAGATAATAACTTTGAAAGATTCTTGTCCTGCACTTAATAACAGCGTGTCACAATATCACCTACATTTTCATCGAAGTCATGAGATGTGCTATAAAGTTGTTGAATGGTAAAGGTCAGTGAATAGCTTCATGAGCTCACAGTAAACAAAACTACGTGTATGATTTAATGTACAAAGCCTTTGTTGGAAAAACAGCATGAATAACGTTTCTGGTTGATGGGCATGGATATGAACATTGCTCTGTTAATATGCCTATTCCCCCTTATTCCAGTAATGTAACAAAATAGGTCGAACCATTTGGACACGGTATCATACCTATCGTCGCAGAAAGCCTATGTTTCACACACATCATAACTAAAAAGAAACGCTGAAGAAGTCATTAAACCTCAAAGGCGTTTTCTGAAGAAGGAGACGACTGTTAGGTCTTTGGAGGCCAAAAAGCATCAAATTATACGTTAATTGTAAAATAGTAAAAATAATGAGATCACTGCACATCATGGGTGGTAACTGATATATTAAATAAGGACACCAACTTCTGCACCACGCACTACGGACGACACAACTTCCCTTCTCCAGCTTCTTGATTATCCCACTATTGCCAATCATGTCTGGCGCATACCTGATCCATATATCCATTATGGGTAAATTTTTATAATATAATAATATAATGGAATTACACTCTACCACAGTGCCCAAGTTTTATTCTTATATCAATGATCCATATATCCACGTTTCGGATCCTTTGCTTCAATCTCCTATTCTCTCCGGAAGTACCCCTCAGGCTGTTGGCATACTCTTACAAGAAATGAGCCACTATGGATCAGAAAGGACTACTTCATTACAGCAATTATATACGTCTTTACTTGTGCATTTTAAGACAATTATAAATCACCAAGTAACTGTATGTTATATATATATATATATATATATATATGTATGTAGTGACCCATTTTATTACTCATAATCGTACTATACTTTCATTGTGTAATTGGACTTTGATTTGTTTATTACTCTAAATCTTGCATGTTAACAATTGATACCTTTTGTACTCGCTCGATTTTCGAATTTGGATTGCTGCAATAATACACTATCGTATTCCTTCGCAAGTGCCTTTTGAATTACGTTGTGGATGTCGAGTAATCACAACGTTAGGACACAAATATAAACGCGAAGAAGTGCTAAGATACACGTGTACTCTAATTCAGTCAAAATATAGCAGCAACAAATTGGATCACGTCGGGCTCACCAATTTGTGATTACTCGACATCCACAACGTAATTCAAAAGGCACTTGCGAAGGAATACGATAGTGTATTATTGCAGCAATCCAAATTCGAAAATCGAGCGAGTACAAAAGGTATCAATTGTTAACATGCAAGATTTAGAGTAATAAACAAATCAAAGTCCAATTACACAATGAAAGTATAGTACGATTATGAGTAATAAAATGGGTCACTACATATATATATATACTTCATCACAGGTTTGTATTCGTCTTGTTATTTACCCTCGTGTATAAACGGGCTTAGCCGTTTAGTCTGCAACAGGTCTAAAGTCCTGTCGTCTGCACCACCAAAGATAACCGAAAACCTGAAACAATATACTCCAGGTCACCCAACTAACAGTATAAATCCACAGAAACTGAAGACACTTGAAGCTACATTTGACAGATATTCTACTCGTATAAACCCCACAAACATGGTGGTGTGAGCATCAAAGAACTTTGATACTGCCAAAATGTCACTTGTATTCGCCAATGAACATGACCTTGTCGGTGTGCCGCAGAACAGTAACACTCTGAGGTAGACTGAGGTTACTGACTTTAGAAGAGATGACAAGTAACCAATGTCTGGACATAAGTCTGACGGCAGTCAGTCTTTCGCGTAGCGTTTAACGTACCGGTATTCAGCAAGAGTCTACTCTAATAAAAAGCACTGTTTGATCAGGAGCATTGGTGTAATTTTTGTAGCAAACTAGGACTTGATAACCAGTCTGTAAAGTTGTGTATACGATACAGGGTGTGGTAATTGACAATTTCTATCGCTTTATTGTTTAAATACTTACTGTTGTTTGTTAATATTTATTATGTGAATTACAAATAATTCCGCCAAATACAAATTCCTAAATTAATCCCTCTATGTGTTGTTGGTTGATTGCCTGTAATTAGGTTATTGCGAAATAATACTATTACAGATAATTGTAACACAGGGGTGCCCAGGCACCTTAAGGTAAACCAACCCAATTAAGGGTAACACTGAGCTCTGCTGAAGATGCTTAGAATGTATTACTACTGCCTCAAGTCCTAGTAATGGAGAGAAGCTCCAATTTGTGGAAATGACCTGATGGACGAAAGGCGGACAGGGAAATATCGGGCAGTCACAGCCCTCCACCGCTATGGTCATATCCGTGTTCCCGGAACTGGCACCGCCTGATAGAAACCTACGTGTGATGAACGGAAGTGAGGATTTATGCCACATCAGATGACCCTTGTTGGTTTTAGGACAATTTCTATCTATGGTCTGCTTCGCTATATTCCTCTCATATCTATTGGCTTACCACGGCTACTTCGTGTTAAATTTAGCTCCCTGGAGCAACTAGTTACAGTGCCTCAACAATGGTACGAGACCAAGCAAACACATTCGATGCTGCGAAAGCCGACGGCAACAATGCTTCCTCATGCCTTAAATATACTACAGTGGTGCAACACTGAGGGAGACAACCAGTGTCACCCAAGTTTCTAAACTGAACCTGAGGAAAGAAGATAGAAAGCCGGTTTCATAAGATTTGGCCAATCAGTTCCAGCATTGACTCCTCAGCCAGCCACCTACACCTCACAACAAGGCGAGGTGGTGAAAATCACCACAAGTTATCCATATAGCAACTTGAAAGGGCAATGCCACCTAAGCCTCAAAATAATAAAA